AGTAATGGTAAAAAAAAAAGTGTACATGGGTTTTACCCAATTAGCTTTCAAGAAAAGATATTACAATCATAGTAATTTTGTGCACAAAATGTACAAGCACAGAAATAATTTATCTATGTGTGGGAAATTAAAAAGAAAATAGGTATAGATCCTATATTAAAATGGGAGATAGTGAAAAAAAAAAAAAAAAAAAAAAAAAAAAAAAAAATGCTGTAAATATAAGGCTAGTAATAGATAATGCTTCTTATGTATGGAGGAAAAATTAGCTATTCACAGTTACCCTAATAAATTACTTAACCAGCAATCTGAAATACTTAATGGTTGTAGGCATAAAAATGCCTGTTTACTTGGCAATTGGAATGTTGGTTTGTTTAGTTTTCTTTTTTTTTTTTTTTTTCCTTTATGCTAATTTTTTTATTCTTTCTGGTGGCTGCTTTATCAATAAAATGTCGTTTGGTCCAATCTTCTTTAATCAGAATTATCCTGATGATCCACTAGGCGACACATACGTAGATAGGTTCTGGCACTTTAGATATTCTAATTTTACTCTACTTAGTGTATTGAGAAGTTTTATATATCAGCTTAGATAACTCTATTGGTGTTTTTTTTCTTTTGGCTAGAAATTGCGGTGCTGGTGGATTATTTGTAAACAGTATGGATGCTTTTAGTCTTTTCATTTTTTACTGAATTTTTTCCCCAGATATGTTTATGTAATATTTTTTATTTATTTACAAATTGCATCATCTGTTTTTTTTTTTTTTTTAAAAAAACAAAACACTGCCAGTGTTATAGTATATATAAGTGAACATTGAAGTCAACACTCAAGAGATGACAAGCTGTTCCATGCGTCTAGCATGAATCAGCCTGTTTCATGCTAGACTATTGTGTTTAGCATGAAAGAGCCTACCACCTCTGAGTGTTGACTTCAATGTTCACTTTTATATTTACATACACTGTATCTCTGATATTGAGCACTTTATCCCATAAATATAGCACACCTTAAAAACTAATATATATATATATATATATATATATATATATATATATATATATATATATATATATATCACACACACACTTACTTTCATGATATGTGTAGCAATAGAAATAAAATTTATCTTTCTTGTAATTCAAAGACTTTTAACTGTATGTATATTTTTTTGCAAACAGATCTTTGTGACTGAAAAAATAAAATGTCAAAAGGATGGTTTTTCCCATGACACCACTTTTAACTACCTTCACTAAGGTTTATTGTTTCGAAAAGCAATGATCAGAATTATAATAAAACCTAGACATATGAAAATGAATCTAAACATTTTATTTGTCTTTCAGAATTGAAAGCAAAATTAGAATACACATTATTTATAAATTGGTAAATGATAAATATTGCATTGTATTAGTCTTAATATAATTGTATTAATTTTTAGAATGTTGTAAATAGGGTTTAATATTTTTGTTGTAAATTCTAGAAAAAAAAAAAGTGTAAATTTACTTTCATATGTTTAGGTTTTAAAATCCTAATCATCACTTTTTAAAACAATATACATTGCCAAATTAGTAGTTAAAATGGAATCAGTGTCATGAGAAAAACTATCCCTTTGACACTTGTTTTTGTGAGCATGAAAGTCCATTATATTTTGTTCCTTTTTTGTATTATTTGGTTGTTCTACCTTCAGTCTGGCTAGCTAAACCTCCTGTTGCAGATTTATTTGTTCAACACCCACAGAATAAACCTCCAACTATGCTGATCAGACCTTAGTTACAGTTTCTGGGAAAGAGCACATAATCTGGTGCACAAGGCCAGTAATCTCAACAAACCCTCAGTCACGATGACTTATAACTCATTGCTAACACAACCATAGACAGCTTCCAAATTGACTACCAAATTTCCCTCAAGTTTTTGGTCAATGGTTTTCAGGCAATGGTGTCACATGCTGGAATCATCTCCCCCAGATAGATATCAGGAAGTCATCCCCTTGACAAATTGACCATAATGCTATTCGAATCTGGGTCTCATGGTTGGAACATTCTAACCACCTATAGAAAAATCCCATTTTTTATTGTTTCTATCATACCTCCAGTTAAGATACCAGTTCAGTGATCTGTGTTAGACATATTCAAAATACTGAATGGTTATTATAAAAAAAAAAAAAAAAAAAAAAAAAAACGATGTAAAATTCTTCACCTCCTCAAACGAGGATATGATCCCTCACACAAGTTGAGGGAACAAACGGTGACAAGAACCAACTTTTTGACAACAGGAACTATTTACCAAATGATGTGAACAAACCAACGCTGGTTATTTTCAAGAAACTGAGGATCCTGCTCAAATGAGAAACAAAATTATAAAAGTAACAGATGATACACACAGGGCTTTGGCAAGCGTCCTTATTAGAGATTTGCTTCGATGAATGAATTAATTTCTTCAATAACAAGCATTGGTCATCAAAATTCTTGGTTCATTATTCAGAAAGGTTTCCAGAGAAGAATCTCTTAAACCGAAATCAAAAATACGTTTTAGAAGTTGTGTACCTTCTAAATAGACATTTTGCAGATACAACTGCAGAGATCAAAGTTGAATTAGTTACAGAAAAAATAAACTGAATTCAATCGCCCGAAGAAAACAGGACTCAGAATAGTGGAAGCACATTTACAAAAAGTAATTTTCATCCGAAGCAGGAACTTGAAGGAAAAAACGATCTTTTCAAATCGCAATGGACAACGTCACTTTTTAAAAAGGCAAAAACTTCATTTGAACAATGGAAAGAAAATGCAAAGAAAATGTTAATGCCTTTTTTTTTTAAAAAAAAAAAGGATCATGAACCAATCAGAAAATTTACTTTCGTTTTTTGCTTTAGTTATAGTAAGAAATGCGACAAACGTCAAATACGAGAAATTGTAAGTTTTAGACTTTAGATGGGGAAAAGAACAAAAAACAAAAAAACACCCTGTAAAACTCTGAGATTAATCACGCGGCACGCGTAGTAAAATACACGTTCACCCGGTTTCACGTGCATGTTTATTAATATTCCATATGTAGGGTATTTTTTTAAAGTCCATAATCCTAAAATTCTTAACACTAGTGTCCATTGCATTTTCTGGAAAAAAATAAAAGAAAAAGTGGGGGGGGGACATGCAAAAATGGCGGTTTATTAACGACTACAAAGATTTTTTTTCCCTAAGTTTTATTAAAACTATAGAATTGCTATTTTGAATTAGGATTTTATTGTTATACCGAACACCAGATGTAGAGGATTTGAAACATTAATTACGTACACCACATAAAGAGGCAACACGAAAATAGGTTATTATGTCAGGAGGAGTAAACTAAGAGTTTACTTTTTAACAACAACAAAAAAAAAAAAAAAAAAAAAAGAAAAAAAAAGGGGGGAAAGTTACGTACCAGGTATCTCAATTTTTAAATTAAAACAAAAGCCCTTGACACAAGTTTTTAATCACCAACAAACGATGAAAGTTAGAAGACATTTTATTCTACTGTAGGAAGCATGATAAAACGTGTTTTTTGACTGATTAAGAAAGCACAAAAAAATATAGTTACTACTTTTGTAGGCTACTATTATTTCTACTAGTAAATATTACTAGTAGTAACTATAAAAAGACGACAGAATTGTTTTAATACAAATTTTAGATAACAAAAAAAAAACAACTTAAAAACTAAAAAAGGCTTTTTCCTTTTCTTATAACAAAAATGTCCCCACCTTAAATCTAAAACTATTTTTTTTTGTGGAGCGCGGCATTAATGCATTAACGAATTTTGAGATCTTGAAGATTTTCGATTTACTTCAAGAAAAAAACAATCTTAAAAAAATAATAGTAGAAATTAATTAACTGAATTTTTTTTTCTAAATTGCCTTCAACGAGAGTCACTATGTGTGTTAAAAAAAAAACATTGAACAAGAAGGATTTAGATAAGAAATAAAAATACAATAAACAAAGGATCTTTCGAAAAATCAGAAAAAGAAAAGAAATAAAAATAAAATTACTGATTGAAATAATTTTGTCATTTGTTGCTTTGAAAGTAACAAAAAAAAAAAAACAATTTCTATCGATCATAAGTTAATAACAGACCTAAAAAGTTATGTGGTCGTGCATTTTTTTAAGTGCTACGATTCGAGTTTTGTTTACCGAGAAAAATAAAGATCTTACGTATCCTGCATACGAAGAGAGACAGATATTCCGTTTCTTATCACGAGGAAAGATCCAGTGGCCAAAAACACGGTAAAGTTTCGAGCCGAGTTAAAAAGCCACTGGACTTACCCTCGGTGTCTGGTTGCTTCGATGCACATTACGTAATCAACAATTCTGCCTACGTCATCAATACATGTTTACAATTCTCTCACAAATCGACTTAAATAAAAATATTAATCAGCACGTTTTTCTTAAAACACCTAAAAAGGTACTTCTTCATTAGAACGCGATTGTGTTTCAGGTACTTAAATTGAATTTAAGTAATACAAAAATATACTTAAACAGCCGCAAACACAATTTGTGATGACGTCACATTTTGTTGCGTGTGTCTTTTGCACTGAGTTATTTACACTTAAAAACAAAACAAGATGGAGTCGGTGGTTTCTTTTTAGGAAAAGAGTTTGTTTTGTTTTCTTAAAAAACTATTTACCTATCCTTTCGTTTGCTGGATGGTATTTGCAATTGCTTTAGGTTGGTATGGCCTTCTGTAAAAAAGGCTTAAGACAAGAATTAACTATGCGACATCACTGGAATTTATTTTCTCCGATTTTTTACTGTTGTTCTGAAGGACTTCATTTTTTTGCTAGCTAAGAAAAAAGATACATTTCTAAATGAAGAAGAACCTTTTATTTTGCAAACAACTCTTGGTAATAATTTTGTGATCATCAAGATGAGTAAATGGTATCATTTTTATGCAACGTAAATGATTCTAAGGTGAAGACTGCTGATTTGTTTTGACAGCTTTATGAATTCTTTGTCGTCATCACGTGTTTTTGGCAAAGAAAATAAACATGACGGAGAACAATAAAACTAATCCTCTTTTTGCTATTCAAAATGAAAACGAACCAGATATTGTGAGTAAATCTTTATGTATAATTTTAAATATTTATTGTCAGTACAAACCATGTAAACTTCCTCGTTTTTTAGTTACATTTTGCTGCAAAAATATTTTTAAAAGTGTTAAATTCAGTTACACACCTTTTTTAGTGTTCGAAAATATTTTTTACACCTGGTTTGTAAAATCTAATAATCGAACAAGTTTTGTTCTTTCGTAATGATTTCTTTTGTCGTATTTATTTTTAAATAAACCCCAGTTTTTACAATGGACACCTGGCGCGGATTTAAACCCAGAATTAGTTTTCTTTTGATATCGATAAATAAATAAAAATGTTGGTGTACTGTGTAGAATGATGTCTTAAAGAACATTTGTGCGTGTGTTTTTTATTTATTTTTGGTAAGTTATAAAAATTCAATTTTTCAATCTTTAAAAAGTCACTTTTTAATTACATTATCGAATTATTATTATACCCATTTTTTATAATCTTCAAATAAACTGTAATGCACACGTCAGGGTCTTCGAGACATTGACGTACATTGCACTTTATTTGAAATACTTTAGTAATTTAAATTTTAAAAGAAGAAAAAAAGACAAACAAACCAAGCCATCATTCTAATCCACGCCTTTTGTTAAAAAATACCAATGTTGGTTTACATTAGTTAGACGCTGACACGTGGCTTTAAAATTTTACACACTTCTGCATTATTCGAAATCATACACTTGGATGCTAGGTGTGATTTTTTTTTTTTTTTTTTTTTTCTTTAATTGAAAATCTGATATAATGTACATAAAAAAAATTTAAAAAAAAACGGTTTCCTATCTTAAAACTTCTTTTGTTATGGACACATTGTGGATAAGTTTCAGTTGTCTAGAATTAAAAAAATTCTGCCATGTATCGAGTAAAAAATAAAACTAAAAGTAAAAGACACTGCTAAAAACCAAGTGTATAAAATTCAATATTTAAAATCTTTAAATATTTCGCCTAAGTAAAAAAAATTCAATTAAAGGATCTTACCAGCATTTTTAAAACAACTTATTGAAAAGAAAAATACACCTTCCAAGCAAGAAGTATTTTTTATGCACCTGAATGAAACCTAAAGTGTAAATAAACAATCTTTGCTATTTTCCCGATATTTTCTTATGCAAAAAAAATCTTGTCAATTCCAAATCAAATATGATTACGTCGAATATACTTTTAAAAATTGAAATTAAAAAAAAAGACATACAAAAAAACTTACAATCTTAGTCATTTCTTTCCCTTTTAGCTTTTTTAATTATCTTTTCCTTAAAATATACACCTGCAGAAAAACCCACTTGATTTGACATGCCACTTTAAAACCAACAAGTGTTAAAAATTGACTTGTTAATTAGAGAATTATAATAATTATTCTTATGATCAGATATTTAAACTAAAGTAAACTTAAACTAAGTGATTACTTTTTTAAAATTTACATAGAAGTTGGTTTACCAGAGAATCTCTAACATAGTTTGATCAAGATACAAATAAAATTTAAAAATGTTTTAAAAAATCCTCTACTCCTCACAAATATTTTAAACAGGTTTTTATTGCTTTAAAGTTTAAGTATAAGGGCCAAATTTTCACTCAAAAAAAAAAAAAAAAAAAAAAACTAACTGTGCGTTATTATTTTCTTTACCCTGTTTTATTTCTAGTTTCGTTTTTATTTTCAAACAACTTTCATTTCCTTCTCCAAATTTAATGAATAATTAAGTAAGTACATAGTACAAGTACACGCATAATGATAAGTAGAAAAAAACTTTAAAATTTCTTCGAATGATTCACATCAAAAACAATTTTGGAAACCATCATAATCATACAAAGCATTTTTTTCTTTTTTTTAAGGGTTGTCTGGGTCCTTAAAGTTTAAAATCCCACATTTGACAATTATTTTTACGCTACTTTTTTTTACTTGTTTTCGTTGTTTTAGTTGCCGCCACGGCCACAGACTTTCTTTAAAAAGATCGCATGTTAAATACCTTTTCTGAACTTAAATTTCAGTTCTTTTAAAAGAGAAAGCTAATCAGAGTTAAAAGAAGCATTAATTTCCGTATAAAAATAAGCTTTTTAGGCATTTTAAAAGCCTTGGTACGTGATTTCGATTGTATACGAAAAATAATGTAAACAATTACAAATTTAAAATTCTACTTAAAAACCAATTTTTGTCCTAGAGATGTATTTCGAAGTCTATTATTAAATTTAATACTTAATTAACTAGATTTTCTAATAGTAAAACAAACAGTATGAAAATAATGCCTTATTTGCACACGGTAGCTTCTGAAGCCAAAAGATTTTTAAATAGAAACACTACCCTTTCCTAAAAAAAAAAGTGTGCGAAAAATTAAAAATAAAATCTAAAGAAATACGGAATACCAGTGAGTAGTGCAATAATCAAGAATTTGTTTGTTTAAAAATAATATTCTTTTTTAACCAATAGGCTAAGAATATAATTTTTTATTCTTACACATTGAAAGCATTAAGAAGACACTACTAAAACAAAATATATGAATGTAATTAAATGTGAAAGGAAAAAAAAAACTATTATTCTACGAGTAAATTAAATTTTAGAAAAATTAAAGTATTCTTTTTGCAAATGAAATAATTTAGTCGTAATTCTGAACATTTTGATGCTGGTGAGAAAAACAAATTATACAGGGAAAAATAAGAAAAAGGTTTATTTTTAAAATAATGAAAATGTAAAATACAACTTCTGTTTAATTACTGAAGTAAGTATTGATTTTTCTTGTATACAAGAATCTGTAAATAAATTCAGGGAAACACGTAAAAAAAACAAAAAACACCGTATCAATGAATTCAAGGCACAAAAACTGACAAAACATGTGATATGAAATTAGATTAATTCATAATACTTTTCCAATATTGAATATTAGTCAAAGTGAAATATCAGAATTATCATGTCTATATTAAATAAAAATAAAAAAAATCTCTTGTGGCAAACAACACGATGAATTTCAGAATTGCATTGAAAAATTACAAGTAATTTTTTAAAGAATAAATATGTCTGAAGTTATTAATAATTCAAATTTGGTTTGAAAAAAAATGTCAAATTTTAAAGGATTTACAGATGTTCAAACAAAGCCTGAGTTAAAATTTTAGGTAGTATCAATGTTTTATTGAAGTTATTTGATGTGTTTTGAAAAAAAAACTGCCATCTGATGTTATTAGGTAAAACTAAATAATCACATTTTACTTCATTAAAAAGGTAATAAAATCATCACAAATTGATCAACATCTATAATAGAACAAATAACAAACACATAAAAGTCTTTAAATCTTTTACATTTTAATATAGTGACAGCCAGTAATCTATTATCCATTGATTTTGTTATTTTTAAAAAAAAATTTTTTTTTTACTTCAGGTTCAATTTCTGACATGGTAGTTTTAGTTGCTTCCCATGGGTCTGCTTTGTTATTATAATGTTTGCTTCTACCTTCATATAATTTCATCTTCATGATTGACCATATATTTTCAATTGGATTTAGATCAGGACTTCATGGTGACTATTGCATTATCTTCTCTTTAAATCTTTTATGCTCAAAGAATTCATGGGTAAGCTTAGATACATGAGAAGGAGCATTGTCATGCAAATACGTACTTCACTTTGAAACTGCAAAACTGTGATTTGTATCATGCAAAGAAAGTTTTGTTCATAAAATTACAATAGTTAGCACTGTTCAGTTTAACCCTTTCATTGACTTTGAATGGTCCAATAATGGTTTGATTGACAATTCCAGCCTGTATCATAACACTACCGCCTTATTGCCTTCTTTTAGCCACAGGCACATCTAAATTGGATAAAATCCATCCTTTGGCTCATCCATCAGGTCCATCAAATGGCACTCGAGATTCATCCATAAAAATTACTTTAGAAATGTCAATTTTCATGTATTTCTTGACCCAATTTTGACACTTTAAAATATTTGCTTTAATGAGGAGATTGTCTAGATTTTTTTTTTACAGATACAATTCACAAAGTATTCTACACCTTTTGCCCTTTTTGACTCCCTCAATTCCAACCTTTTCAAAGATCTGAGCACTGGTTAAAAGTGATTGTTTCACTATAAATTGCATTATTTTACGTTAATCTCGAGGAAGCAAGTTCTTAAAGCTTTTTTGCTTTGTGTTCTCAAAGGTATATTTTCAACTGCCTTCTTTATCATTTGATGATCTATGCAAAGCTCTTTTGATATCTCCAATGTGGACATTCCCTCACAAAATAACTTCATTACTTTCTGTTTTTCAGCAGTTGTTAGATTCTTCCCATGTATGAACATATATTATGAACAAAAAGATAAAATAGTTTTCAAAGGTCATAAGTCAATATTAGTTTAATCTGCATACTAAATTCAGTCAGTCCATTTTCATAAATTTCAAATATCTCAAAAACTATAAAAAAAAAAATGGCAGAAAATTTAGTTTAATATTTTACTAAGGGTGGAAATGGTGAGTTTAAATTTGACAAATATTGGTTCAGAGCTTTTCAGTTATTGAGGGGTATTAATTTTCATAACTTCAGACAGGCTGTAGACCCCCCCCCCGTCCTATCAGAAAGAAGACGTTTTTTTATGCAAGCATGAATTCTCAAAAAAAAAAAAAAAAAAAACACTTTTTTTTTTTTAGTTTTATTAAATTATGTTTAGTAAGATGTGGGCCAAATTTTTTGTATGTTTGCACCTCGTATAGCATAAATTTTTTACTAAAATAATATCTTGGGGACTTTTCTTTATGAAACTATAATTGGACAAACACTACCCTCAACTAAATTAAAAAGATATTGAAGGAGGGGGAAGATGAAACATATTTCCCCAAAGTTTTTTTTTTTTTTTTTTTTTTTTTTTGGTAAGTCTCATATCTTGGTAAATCATAGAGGTTGGTATAAAACTTTTATGATTTATCACAAGATAATAATCTCATAATACTTATTAATTTATTGTAGAAAAAAAAAACCAATCATTTAAAAATAATTACTCTATTAAAA